AACTGAGATTTTTTCTAGCCAAATGCGGTACGAAATAGTGGAACAGGAGAACAAGGATTTTTTTTTCTGGAAAGTAACCTCCATATGAAAAGATTTAATTACTAGGGCTTTTGTGAAACTAGTTTTTTATATGAAAAACAGCCAGTAGATAATGTTGTCATGTCCTGGTTCATCTTGGGTTCTAAGACCGTAAATGTAATATCAACCATGCAAAAATAAATTAACTTGAATCCTCATTCTGGGGTCGGGAGTTGATCTCACCTTATCGCCCCACGAACCAATTAATTTATATGGAATGACAATTCAAATGACCTTTTCGATATGAAAAAACTCCTTTTATAACAGCCGTACAGAGGTGTATCACCTGTACAAATTGAGGTCCCTTGTACCAAAACCCTTTTTTTCTCTATTTTACTGACACATTTTATCCGTAAGGTGTTTACCTTTGGGAAATGTCGCAGACATAATTAATATCTGAATTCATAACAGCCCCATAAGATATTTCGGTAAATTATTTCCCAACTTGTTTTCTCTTTTCCGAGGTGCCCACATACAACTGACGTTGTAGTTCGGAAAGTGCATTGCGAATTATATTGATAAGGCGATTGACATTTGAGCATCAGTCTGAAATTGAGGTACCTATGGAAAAACGTAACGAAAAAACCTACGGGGAAGAACGTAACATTATGAATACTTGATACTTTTTATCATCTCAATGATTAACTACCTGCCTAACTTCAGAACCTCATCATTTTCGAACCCTGTACATAATCTTTTGAGAATATATAGTCGAATAAAAAAGAATGCAAATACAATAAGTCCAATCATTTCAGATCCCAAAAATAAAATTACACAGTTGATTTTGAAACATACCACGTGCAATGTCTATATAAAGAAGGACATAAAATTTCAAACAATCTGAGACAAAAGTTTTGGATAATCAGGGAAGTAAGCACATCGGAATCGATTATTTTGGAACGCTGTATGTGACTGTTGGAAGTCATTAAAAGAGAAGGTACAGATGAGACGATGCTTGACGATGAGAGCCATTCACTTAGAAATAGCTCACTCTCTCACAACAGACGGTATAATTTGGCTTTGAGAAGAATGGTAGCGTGCAGAGGTAGCGTGCAGAGGAGCGTGCAGGAAGTCCTCACATGGGTGAGGATAAAATGATCCTGTGAGAAAAAGATACTGTGAGTTAAGGAGTATTTGCCAAAATTAACGATTGAAGGAAAATGGATAGGCGATGGCAAACCAGTCCAAATTGGAGATATAGTTGTCATACAAGATGGCAACGTTTCCCAAAAGTTCTAGCCGCTGGAACAAATGAAGAATGTTTTTCTAGGAAAAATGGTATTACTCGAGTTGTCGATGTGAAGACCAAAAGAAGTGTTTTGCAGTGCCTAGTTACCAAATTATGCCGTCTAGTTATTTGTAGTGAAAATCAGTATTTTCACGTTGGGGAGAATGTTGTAATGGTTTATATCTTTAAAATTTTGTTCAATTTTGATAAAATCGTTATAATTACTCTTTGTGAAAAAAGTTGAAATCCCTTTATCATTGCGAACTTGATCTCATTGAACTCGTTTGGGCTTAAATAAAGGGTTTCATTGCAAGCAATACGACATTTGAAATGAAAGATGTCAAAATACTCTTTGGGAAGGTCTTAAAAAATATCGATTGCAATAAATGGCGAAAATGTATTGAACATGTTACAAAAAAAGAGGACATGTGGAAATTGGACCATTTAGTTGGGAAAATTGTAAAACCTTCAATCATAATATTCGACGAAGATTCATTGGATTTATCTGATGATAACATACCATAATTTTTGCTTATACCTAATATCTTCTTGAATAATCATACCTATTTATTATTATCTGAATATTTCAAATTCAAATTTTATAAAAATATGCATTGGACAGACAATTCCCTTTCTGCTTCAATTAGTTTCTTGGGGGTTAAAATAGACACCAATATGTCTTGGCACAATCATGTCACTGGAATTGCAAAGGCTGCTTCTCAGAAGCTTGGAATACTGTTCCGAATCAGAGAACTATACACACTCCAGCAACTTTTGATGCTGTACACACAGAGCTCCGCTCCTAAGCATACATTGAACCTACTGGATTCCATCCAGAAAAGAGCCGTTCGCCTGATTGGAGACGCAAACATCACATGCAACCTTGATAGCCTGGAACATCGAAGAAAGGTTTGAGATTTGTCTTTTTTTTATAGATACTTTCACGGGAAGTGTTCAAGTGACTTGGCATATTTGATTTCACCAAGAGCGGTTCATATCAGAATTGTTGCAGTTAACAAAACGACTCGAAAGTTTATGAAATTATTTTGTTTGTGACCCTTTCATGATACAAAAATAGGGTGGACCTGGTAAAGTATTTTTAACCCGCCTCTACCTATTTTTTAATTACGAAATCAAAAAATTTTGTTTGAACACTCTGTTAGCCTGTTGCATTCATAAGGAGCATTCATTACAAAAGAAAAGTTTAGTTTTTCTTATGTACGGGAGACAAAAGAAGAATTATTTTTGATTACTTGAGTTCTGCGACTCATTCATGTGGACTGGTCAGAGGTACCTATATAATCAAAAAGCATCTTCTACTGTATGTTTGACATTCTTGGATACTAAACTGGAGCAATCACATTAAAACACTGTAGAAAAATTTGGTTTGTTGAATATCTACTTTTCTATGTCTTGTTCTCACATCAGCTCCAATATTACGTGTTGTGGATGTGTCGGGCAGTTGCCAAGAGTTTTTTTTTGCTCAGAAGAGACAAGAATGATATTTGACAAAATTTTTCAAAACAGTTAGTTGTATATAGAAGACAGGCCTTCCCCAGCACCTTTTCCATTCATCTTGAAATGTGTCACTTTTGCACATAAAATTATCATTATAATTACTAATTACCACAAAAAATTCGAAAGTTTAGGTTCCAGACATGACAACCTATATAGAATTTTTTCAAATAATTTAGTTCATTTCAGATGCTTCCTTCAATTCAATGCAATAAACTGTCGGGTGATGACAGTCATCACCCAAAGACGATTGTGTATACTAACAATTGAAACATCGTGAAGTAACTTGGCTTGGAATCTCTCGACTTTTTGCTTTTATTAAATTGTTCTATTTTTATTTCATTTCATTTCACTATTATTTCATTTCAGGTTTTATTGCCTAATATAATTGTTTCTTCAGCTATTCATTTTTAATTCTTCTTTTCAAGTCCTTTCAGGGATTTCAAATCATTTTATATAATATCAGACAATGGAAGTCCGAATTAATGAAATTCATCATGTAATATGTCAATCACCTTCAAAGAAAAGTGAATTTATCTTAATATGCACAGAAACCCTGGTGTTAAAACTAAGTTATCATAAAAATCTATGGGATAAATGAGATTGAAACAAATTTTCTGATTGATTTGATCTCCACAAAGTTTGTAGATATCAAATCGTGAGGTGTAGTTTTTGAAAAAATGAAACAAATTTGTTAACAGGTTGATAAATGGAACAAGAATCATTTCCAAATATAAACTTTAGTGTGCAGTCAGCGCCTTTGTGAATGAAATGCTAAAGTTCGTTGGATCTCTTTATTTATTGGAGAATCAAGAATGCTGCAGATCGAGTGTTTTTGCAAAATATATTACATAGGAAGGGATTCAACTGATTACACCATAGTACTTTTATGTATTTTGATGTGAACTGTGTTGAGAATTATTTTGTTCTTTTGTATTTTATTGTTTTGTTTATTATGACAAAACTCATGTAGGCAGAATACCAAATTTTCAAATGAAAAAATAAATAATCGCCTTCAAAAGTGGTTGCATATATAACAAGTGAAAATGAAAACACTAAAGGAATATATTTTTATTTTGTAAAAATAAAAATAGCCTTAAATAAATTAAAAATTTCAATCTCTGATTATGTCAATTTTGTAATAACAATAATTACATCAGTCAACGTTATCAATTCACAATGGTCAGAAAATCTTCTCTCTTGATATTTGTTAGCTAGTATCAAATCACAATGTACGAGTACATGAATTCCAAAATCAAAAGTTCACTGGTCCGAGACCCTAGGAATAATAATACTTCAAAAAGACGAATTCGGTTTGTCAGTAATAGGTGGAAAAATTTACACTGTGAATTTATTGTATTCTTACAATTCCCCATGACTAACAGTTCTAATAAGTAAAGTTTGCTTATTCCATGAGGCCATTTTCATGGATAGAAATAAAACCAAATATGAACTTGATGAATATTTACAAAAAAAGAGAGGGTCACATTGCTGGAAAAAACAATTGACAAAAGACATAATGAACTTTGGCCTCTGGAAATATTCAAGTGCCACTCATTTGGAAGCTGAATATGAGATCTCCGTTCAGCTAGAAAAGATGAAAATAATATCTGGCAAGCATATCATTTCTCATAGCTGAAAAAGTCAAAAAATCTGGAAAAAGTGAAAATAAAAACATTTACCTAACTTCCACTAATAAATTAAACAAATAAAAACAATTGGAAACCTACACATTTCTATAACAAAATAGTTAAATCTATTTACAATTATCTACACAAGGAAATGAACTTTCCAGTAACCATCTAGTAAGTGTATATAATCTTTTCAAACTATTCCAACATTTATTTCGTTCAGAAAGTCTTGTATAACCTGTCAACTGGCAAATGAGAACATCACGCTCGACCATATACCTAAAGAGTTGTACAAAAAATGGTCTGCTCATAGTCTGTGTTGATAATAAAAGGAGATAAAAGAGCCTCCATTTTAAAATCTGCTTTAGACAACTCATATCATTGTCTGCGTTCTTGCTTGTTATGTGTGCTGTTGTTTGCTATTATTTATGTGTTGTATAACTTGCCATTTGTAAAAATGGCAAACCTCTAAGTTTGTGCTATTGACCGCCTCATTCTATATAGTAATGTGTGTTTTCTAAGGCCATTAAATGAGTTTAAAATAAATATGAATTTCAAACTATTTCAACATTTATTTTGTCTAGAAAGTCTTGTATAACCTGTCAACTGGCAAATGAGGACATCACGCTCTACCATATACCTAAAAAGTTGTACAAAAATGGTCTGCTCATAGTCTGTGTTGATAATAAAAGGAGATAAAAGAGCCTCCATTCTAACATCTGCTTTAGACAACTCCATATCATTGTCTGCTTCTTGCTTGTTGTGTGTGCTGTTGTTTGCTATTATTTATGTGTATAACTTGGCATTCATTTGACAAGTGACATTCGTTTGTAAAAATGGCAACCCTCTAAGTTTGTACTATTGACCGCCTCATTCTATATAGTAATGTGTGTTTTCTAAGGCCATTAAATGAGTTTAAAATAAATATGAAAAACAGTCATTACGACGAAATATTCTGACGCAGGGCGAGCAAGCAGACAAGAACATAAAAGAACATAAAAGACCGTAAAAAAAAGAGACAGTACAAGAAAGAATAGTTCCAGAAGGGAAGATCCATTAAGAACAACATAAACAAGAGAATGCAGAATATTGAAGCGAGTAAAGAAGAGGTCTAGAAGATCAAAGACTGTAGGTGGTTGGAAAAAAAATTGACATCCAAGAAAGAAAATGGTAAACGCTGAGCTCAGCCAAAACGTAGTATTCAAATTTCCTTCTATTACCAAGAAAGTTAGCCAAACTATTGGAGAAACCAGAACGTAAAAGTATTTTCAAATATAAAAACAGCACAAAATAAGTCAAGCGTATTTGATTTTTGTACAAAATTTGAAATACAAATAACTGGAAAATGACTCTGTTAATGAAGCATATTTTGATATTGATGTCAGTCATCACCAGTTGATTGGTTAAGCTCGACTTCCTGAACACTCTGTATATTTGGTATGAAAAATATAGGGCACAAACGCTGAACAAACATTTGCAATAAGAGAAACATTTTCTAGAGGTTTGGTTCTGGATTCTCTTGCTGGACTACATCAAACAAACATTAACCAAAAGTAACATTTAAAGTTTTCAGAGACATTGGTTCTATGTAAACTTCGCTCAACCGCTGCAGGCTATAAAAAGTGTCTAACCCAGTCAAAGATTTCAGTTCGATGTCCTTAACGGATACGAATTCGAACTCAAAGTCTTTATCAAACTTATGTATATCACAAGAAAAATTACTACTAATAGCACAGTCATAACCCTGCCTATGTATCACCATTAAAGCACTAGAGGAGGGAAATTGGGGGTAAACCGCATCAGGCTGTGTACGAAGAGTCAATAAGTGAACGTCACACGGCATGGGTTTGTTTAAAAGTTTGAAGGAATGGTTCACGTTCGTCTGGTGCTCGGGATCTACGATGAATATACTCGCCGGATAGTTCAACAAGTTTGACATGTGATTGGCGTACAGGGAAGGACGAGAGAAGACTTCGCCCTTTTTCAACTGAAGCGGTTCTGTTGGGACATTAAAGGTTCTAACTACGTCTCCTTTATCGAACAAGTCCGAGGCGAAACGCTTCTCCTGAGTTTCGCTCTCTGTCATCACTTTGGAAATATCTTCAATCAGCAGCCAATATTTACTCAGGGTCCTTTTATTATCTACGAGCCCTTCTCCCATGCCTCTGGAGTCGTCGTAAAGAGTTCTTCTGTCCAGCATTACCTCCAGGAATCCCGGCTGCCAACTGGACGCCCCCTGAGCGTGATTTGTTAGTAAACTTAGTCTTACATTATTGTCTTCGATATAGGCCATTGTGGTTATGGGGAAATAGTTGCCTTCCAAACCTATACGCTCCACTTTGACGCGTTTTTGCATATTGAAGCCGTTCAAGTCCGAGTAGAACTCTGGAGGCTCTTCGTTCTGCACTTCAGAAACTATCCTCATGAAAAGTTCTGTCTCCCTGTTTTTGGGAGAGTTTTCGAAATCCACAACATTCTCAATGGAAATACCGTCAGCTAAACTCGAATTATCAGCCAGGTACACCGTGACAGTATGCATCAAGAACGGTTCGTAAATTACCGTTATTTCGGTCAAAATTGGCCCAGCGGTGATCATTATAGTCTTGTGATCTTTGTATTGCTCCAAGACGTCTTTTTCGTATTCTCTCTCGTTAGGATCTGGCATGAACAAATACGCCCCAGAGTGGAACTGGGCACTTTTGTAGGCAGCAAACTGTATTCCGCATCTCAAGATTTTAGGGTTATGCTTCCTAGTCACCGACTTCATGAAACCGGTGTTGCCGTTGAAGAGCAGTTTGAGTTTACTGTTTTCCAATTGTATATCGCCAGGAGGTATGTCTTTGATAACGAATTTTGATTTAATAATGTCGGAGTTGTCGTTTTCTTTCGTTACTATGGTAGTTTGTTTTTCGCATTTATTACAGTAAACAGTGGCGAGTGTATCCTCTTTGGTCACAGTGTAAATCAAATTGACAGTTGTAACGGAAAGCTGTGGCAATTTCATAATAAACACTATCTCAAATTCGTCAGCGGCTACCCATAGCTTCGAATTATCAGACATATCCCATACTGGGTTTATCTGGTATTTGATATCGTTTCCTTCACTATCTGTTACTTTTACATTACTTGTATTGACCCTTAACTGTATCACATGTTCTTGAGGATGTGACAAAGAATTATAGAGCAATACTTTCCTAGTTTGGTTGGTACCAACAGGCCCAACTTGAATTGGTGTTTTTCTCGGAAGTTTTTCAAATGATTCCCTCTCCATATCGCTGAGAACTAGGTTCTCTCCCGATTTGATAGGGACATTTGGAAAAATTAGACTCTGGAGGGAGTTTTGTTGAATGCTAGTAGTGTCTCGAAGACCTTCAAATAATTTCAGGCCATAGTCTCGCATCACAAAGGATTTACTAGTTCCAGTTATGGCATCGTGATGTTGGAATAAACCTGAAATAAAAAAAATATTCAATTACATATGTGATGGAAATGACCAATAAAATCCATATCAACGTATTTGAGTAACATTTCATTGTGTTATTATATTATCTTATATCATCACTATCATTAACTTACTGTTGTTTTAATGTTCCGTGATTGTATGATTGTACAATTGTTCCTTTATTTATGAACATTTCTTGTTCTTTTCAATATATACTTATTTTATGTTTGTATTTTTGTAACTTTTATCGACTTTTAATATATACATACTTATTTTGTATTTGTACTGCTGCAGCTTGTAGGTTCTGTTATGACAAGTCCAATAAGTTTATATGATGTGCCTTTTATACATTTGTATGGACTTCGGTGATGAATGAATTTGATTTGATGATCAAACATCGTATTTAAGAAAACCACGACACGTCTTTCACTTTTACAGTAGCTTCTTCAGAAGTATTCATTTTGGGTATGTTCATACTGTGAATAAACACACCTGGAGAAGCTACTATATCGTGGGGTGAATAGTACAACTAGATGAAGGCTTGATTGAATGTCATTTCACTACCATTTCTAAATTTTATTTATTTAGCACTAAAAATACTTTTGATGTTGATTTAGATACATTAGGTTCCAATATATTTTATAAAAGAACGATGTTTTTGTTTGTTTTATATCAAATTAAAAAAATGGGGCTTGTAAATAAATTGTTTATTTGTGATATATTATTGTATTGATATGCACTGCAAAAATTACTTCTTGTTACAAAAAAAAAAACAAATTTGATGAAAACAAATAAAACAATGTTGAACAATCAGATGTGAACTTGCCTAGTGGAATTTTTCTCTGATGATTACCTTATCTAGTTTTGAAAATTTTAATTAGCGCCTGTAAACTATCTGTTTCTTTCCCGCTTAGAGCTTTGTTCACGAGATGGAGCCGTTACTAGTTAACAATCTTTCTCTTAGACGAAGGTTTCATACATGCAGTTGAGGCGCGTTGAAATTAATCGAGTCTCAGGCATTTTGCTGTTTGGGTCGGACCTTTCCTGCACTGATAAGAGGTGATACCTCGAAACCAGTCTGTAGGTGATCTACTCGAATAATTTGAGCATGATCTAACCTCTATGAGGCATCTTTCATAAATATCTGTCGGATATAATTCAATATCCAGCGTGGTATTAGCCGGGAATGCAGTTGTTTTTCGGCAGGCATTTACCAGAACCTACGGTGTAGGTAGTTGACAAAGATGAATATTTTGAGATTTTATTTTGAAATATTAATTTTCTAGTAAAATTTTCAAACTCAGAAAATATCGTGAATGGCAATAATCATGCCAGTTAGGCATACAATTATCCTTTGATAAGACAGTTACCAGAATTGTACACGATAGTAAAAATCTTGGATGTGACAGATTTAAATTGAAAAAATTTATTTATTTTTCCCTATATCATCATCGGAAAGATTATGATGAAATAATATGAGAATTGTTAAGTTTCATGTACAGAAATAGGATCCATGTGGAGATATACCATTGGTACAACAAACATAAACCCCGATATTGTGGGTGTATGACGACCTCCGATATTTCATTTCTCTTTTTCTTGATATTTCCTCTTCTCTATCTTCTATTTTCTCCGATAATTAGCCTATATGTTACTACTGTAACACTCACTGGATGAACATGCCGGAATAACCATCTTTAACTGACAAATATTCAAAAATGCAGCCTTCAGGTTTTGAAAATTTATATAATCAACTAAATTGCGAATTTCATTTCAGTAAGTACTACTCAAATATCTATTCAATATTTGATAAATATTCTCACTGAACTCTTGTACTTACCTAAATTCCTTCTAGCCCTTATGAGTTTCTCAAAATCCCTTTCCAATATTTTCGAATAGGATGAGAGTTTATTTCGTTTAGCATTATTCAAAGCAACTGTATACAATATCTCTGCAGAACGAAGACTACTCTCTAGCTCTCGGTCCAATAACTTCATAAAGGGCCTGGTGGTGAAGTATCCAGACCAATATGCCGGCCGTCCTTCGGAAAATATGTCGGAATATACAAAGAAATCACCTTTCAGCGTAGGATATTGGGTGTATCGTTTAGAAATTTCTTGAAAATACATAGCAGGCGTTCCAAAAGTTATTTCTGCCTTGTAGTGCTCTTTATGGGCATTGATGTAATCTATGAGTTTGATATAATTAGTGTACTGTTGATCCCATTCTTCTTTGACGTTGTATCGAAAATCATCTCCTAGTGGCATCAGAACTACATTATGAGGTAAGAGCGAACCTGTTCTTGCGTACTGTTCCAGCAAAAGCTCTGCTTTCTCCTTTATGTTTTTATCAGTAATCGATTGGGATTTCAGAGAATACTCAGTGTATTCGCCTTGAACTTTACGGAAATCAAAATTCAAGCAGATATACGGATGAGGTCCACAACTATGTTTAATGGAGTAAATATCAAAGGGTTGGTTGTGAGTGATTATTGACCCGTAGGGATCTGAAGGGCTCCAACTGGGTACCCATCGGAAATCTCCGTACTGTTTGAGAGCCAGCCATTGTTTCCAGGCGTAGTGGATCCTTTGTATCACAGTTCCTTTAAGGCCTGATGCGCCTAGAAGATATGGTACTGTGCTTCCGTGGCCGAACGGGTCTACTGACCAGCCGGATATTGGTTTTATTCCTAGATTAGTCCAAGTCCATTGATGTCCTACAAAATAATGAAAATTAGAGAACCTCAGGTATTGAATTCAAAGTGGACAAATGCAATGATTGAGTTATCAGTGATTAACTTTTTATTGTAATACCATGAATATTAAGAGATCCAAAAACAAGCAACAGAACTTCAATACTTTTCTCTACGAGCGTTTCACTAACCAAGTTTGCGTCTTCAGGAGAAGTTCTGGTGATTAGAAAAAGTGCTTGTTTTTGTATTTATATTACGCCAGAGATTCCAGTTTTACCTTTTATTTTCAATATTAAGAGAGTAAAAACAATGATCTCCAATATTCTAGAGCAAAGGTCAGCAACAGACGGACCGAAAGGTCAAACCTCGGACCTCCAGATATTGTAATGTGTTGTATACCAAGTATAAATTGATACGTACATAGGGTATACCATACCTTTACTAATTAAAATAATATTTTTGAGTCACATATAATTCAACTTACTAGTTATTTGACTTCAATAAGTTATCTAGTTAACCTATTTTACAAGTACCTACAACTAATATGGTTTGATTAGCCTGTGTGTGAATTAGTTGATGTTGCGGCAGAATGGACAGATGTAGCTTCCAAGTTGTTGAATCTGTCACAGCCATCACTTCAAATAGAGATAATTGATTTGCAAGAAGATGTGTCTTTGCAAATGTATATAACGTTATCCACTAACACTAAAGACTTTTGGGCCAAACATGAAAACTGCAAGAAACTAGCTATAAATTTGCATTTTTTGAAAAACATGTATCGTTGGAGATTAACGGACGCCTACCTAGAAGACACACCTGAATTTGCTGTTCTTATCGAGAACCAAACTATAAGAAACTGGGTTGAGATCCTCGGTGTAGTTTCTCACATTAATTTTAGGTCATTTGTTTTATAATTTTTCCCACAGTATCCGGACCCCACTGGAAACTACTTGCCGACCCCTGTTCTAGTGTGAATTGAATAGAATATTATTTGATGCAGATTTTATAAGTTTTATAGATGCCCAAGGTAACAAGTTAGTCAAATCCACTATTGGATAAGATGAAAAAAATACTTGTCTTTGATGTTCTTTTTTGGCGATTGGAGAAGAAATTTAGGCTTTTACGGCCATTTCTTGAAACAGTCTATGGTTTCGGGTTGCGGACGTCTGTTGTATTTTTTCCTGACGTTTCGCCAGCGAGAGTTACTGCCATTTTCGGAGGTGTGTTATCGCTTTCAAGATTGGAGGTACAGGTCAGGAAGAAATTCCAATAGACGACCTCTTCGAAACTCAAAATCACAAACCGGTATCGGCTGTATCGATATGAATGTAATTACACGATTTGTGTGTGAAGTGTGTATAATTCAGTATATAAGTCGAAGCTGAAAAAATGGTTCTAAAAATATTTAATTGCTTTGATGAGCATCACCTACAAATCAATCAAGGTGAACTTTACTTCCATTCATTGATGGTTTCACTCTTTAGTCCATTCGAAACATATTTCGTTACCACTAATGGTCAATGATTCTGTATAAGTTAATTGTTTAATATATTCATATAAAACATGTTTAGGGTTCATACTGGTTCAGTTTTGTCTTATAACTAATAACGTGCTAAGTGTAGGTTTAAGTTTCGGTTACATTGAATAGCGGTGTCAGACGAATATTCCATAATCAGATTAGATAGTTGTATTGACCAATAAAGACCCTATTATTATTACTATCATTATTATTAAGCAAGTAATGTTTCGGTAAAAATTAGGTTCAATAACAATATTGTTAGAATAACAAAAATAAATTTGATATGGTAATGTAAACTTTCCTTCGAATTTTAGACCTATTGCTCTAATCCCAACCTCGGCAAAAAACTTGGTAAAATAAATTTGAACACTTTCTTTTGTGCAGATATATTGATAACTAAGCAGTTTGGATTCCAGACTAGAAAAAAAAACACTAATGACACAAACTTTTCATTTATAGATTCGACTGAAAACTCAAAACACATATATCAAAAATAAAGAAAAGCCCCAATGTTCGAGTCAATCAAATTTTATATTACTGCTCTTTCCTTCATTATGTGGAGCAAGATTTTTAGTAGGTATCTGTTTGAATTCTGTTTTTAGAACAAGCTGAGAAAGTAAAAGTTACATTTATGTAACCCAATTCCCGACTAGAACTATAATCAAGAGTGTCAACTGTGAATAACTAACAGAAAACGAAGAAAATGATTAATCAGAATATCTGGATATAAGATACCTACCAAACCTAAAGAGTAATTTGATAAATTAGCAAAATGCAAACGAATTGAAATCTTGCTGGAAATTGAATACCATAGTGAATATGATAGTTCTTTGACATTCAGATTATTCTTTGTGAAATAGAGAAAGTATTGAAAAAACATATGTTTCTTGAAGTTTAAATTGTTTTTCCCTATATTCCACAAAAGGTATAATTACTTATTAGAACAGACTCGTGAAATATGAATATTTGTTGAATTAGAAATCACACTTTTAGTTACATACGTTGCCCTAGAAGGCTGGCTATCAACCTTCATAACTAAAATGTTTTACAATTTCAAAGAGAAATATTCATGAATAGACCACTGGATTTACTTACACCCACTTTCCTGTTAACAGCACAAACTCGAGGGGAGATATATGAATAATTTACTTCAGAATGGATTATAGGTACGAAAGATATAATACATAGGATTTAGTGTTTACTGGAGATGGATATTTACCCAATACCATATAATTGCTAATATTTAATTTTGAGTAAGTTGGGAGAATCAATTATCCATCAATTATTGAAACTACAAAAAGAAGGTAAAATAATTTGAGACCAGGAAAAACAAAAATATGTACAATCAGAAAGAAGAAAAAATATATATTTAAAATTAAATATATCAAAGTGTGCTACTTTGTTCATTGGTAGTCAAAACTGCCTTCCGGAGTCATAAATGATAGCATTCAAAATCCTTATTTTCTTTTTCTGAAAAATTTTACATTCCTCAGTAGATCATTAACTAGATATCATCTTCCACAAAGCCATAACTTGTACAAGCAAAGGATTAACGAGATCTTACTTTTTTAATGTGCGACTATTAGTAAGGACTTTATTATAAGGGGAGGTCCCATGTATCCATACTGCTTGCAAACCCGGACTTGATTAGTATTTGTATGAAAGACTTTGGATACTTTGTTACTTGTGTTGAACGTAGAATGCTCATTCTAGACATCATCAATCATTCACCAGTACAAGTTTCGAATTCTGAGGGTTGTTTATCTATCCTCATTTTAACCTAAACCCATAAGTAAGTGTGGTAGGGATTATTCACGAGTTGTCATAGAGGATCCACTTTTCAGCACACGTGACGATCCGATCCAAAAAAGAATCGTTTGGGTTGCGCAGAAGCAAAGAAGAACATACCTCGAAATGGACAATTTTCGATCTTTTTCATCTTCCCAATACGAATTAAATCATGAAAAATTGAATGAAAGCGGACGCCCAGTTCTTCTGTCATCTCACGCACCGTTTGTGATGGGTCAATCTCTACTAGAGTCCTTAAAACCTCGTCAGGAATTACTGTAGGTCGACCACTGCAGGGCTTATCTTCGAGGTTAAAATCACCCGAACGAAATTTCGCAAAACAACGTCGAACAGTGCGTCTATTAACACTATCATTGGCAAATGCCTTGGTTGGTAATTTTTTGGACTGTTTCGATAGCGTGTTGGTTCAATTTTAATTCGCTCAACGATATCATATAGTAATATGCTGAAGAGGCAAATAATTAAAATTTGGAAAAAAATAACAGCATCAATGTATATAGTAAAGAAATTCTCTATTGATCAAATCAAAAAAATTTATTAAACAAAACGTATGAAACAATTATATTACCATGTAGGCATCCCTTCATAAAATATATGAATGTATTATAATTCTCTATTGATCAAATCAAAAAAATTTATTAAACAAAACGTATGAAACAATTATATTACCATGTAGGCATCCCTTAATAAAATATATGAATGTATTATAATTTCACACCTAGAAGACTCTGAAGATCAGACCTTTTTGCGGAAAACACGAAACATAAATTCGGCAGGCATGATTAACATTGACTACTCTCCACATCATGAGATAATTGATCATTGGGTCAGAGAACTGTGAAACATACAAAGACTTAACTAGTCAAGATTGACAGTCTTTTGCATTTATTTGACCAACATAAGCCACATTGTGGGAGGCCAGAATATGGCATCCTGATTCAAGAAGTGATAGGGCACCATACTACCAAGAAATAAAACAATCAGAACGACCATTTCAATGGATTGACCTGGAAGAATTTGTGGAGTTCGAAGAATGAATCTCGACATTTCAAACGTTTCAACTCTTAATTTGATGGTCGCTATATCCTATGCATTAGCTTGAAGGTAAGGCGGCATCTCGTCAATACCGTAGGTGGCACTAAAGTATTTCTACGGCCACGTCGTGCCAATGAACATAAGTTTAATTAAATCGCATTTTGTTTTACTTACCGACAGCAAATAACAAAAAATAATGGTATCAGGCCCCCAAAGTAGGCATTGCACCTGGTTTCACGAACTTCTATAAAATTATCACACAAATACAATAGACTATGACGTACCATGACAGGCCATAATGAACCTCCAACTCCAACCTACTAGACCTGAGAATAGCAAAGGTCAGTTGCTTTGGTAAACGGAGGTATTCCCTATTGTTGAAAAAAATCTCTTGCATAGGTTTTATTTAGCCATTAGAGTGTAGTATTTTTTGTAGTTTTGATATGTATGGGTCTTCTTGCTGAACAGGGTGGAACTCGGTGAGTAAAAAGAGTTGTGGTCATCTCGTCCAATAGAGAAAACCAAGTCAGGCTCATCGGATGCTCCGATTCCTACTCTTTTTTATTCACGTACCATGCAGAGCAGGTTATCTAAACCCTTGATAACTTCACAAGCTCCTATTACAACAATTCTGTTGTATAGACATTCCAAACTTAAAAGTCTACAACCTCCCTGTTGTTGGGAGAAGTATATTCAAAATTGAAACTGTTATGGCGTTTCAAAGTGAACAATTATCATTATAGTTACACCTGTGATTTTAGGTCTATCTCACCTTCGATCAATTGGTCAACCATAGCATACAGATGCGCATTCGCCTCGTCAGTCATCACCCACCCTCCAGTGGTAATCTCCAACCTCCCGGATTGCACCAACTCCCTCAGAGCCCTCTGTTTGCTGGGGTGAGCCTCTTCCCACCACGCGTTCAGGAAAGAGATTTCAGACCAAATGAAGGTGAGATTTTTGTATTGCTGCAACTTCGCAACCATGTTGTTCATGATCTGTCTCGAAGAGTACTGGAAATAGTGCTCGAACGTTTTCAGCCAGCCTGGATCGTTGTGGGAGTGGGGTACGATGATAACCTGGAAAAATTATGAATGATAAAGTGCCAGTCTAACACTGAAAAATTATTTTTTTGCGTCTATCGGAATGAGAAATTTTGCGAACTACCTACTATTTAATCCGTTTATTCATTCACTTTCATTTCAGGTCAAAATAATACTCAACAAATCAGCGTTTATATTTTCGATGTGAAACATCTATAGCCGTAGGTAAAACCGATTGTTGGCGTGGCGACGCATGCCGTGGCGATGGTCGCCATGCGCAAGCGACTGTGCTGTTCTCTTTCCACTGGTTGGGCGTTACGCTATCTCTTTCGCCACACTAAGCTCGGATACCTGTAGCGTATACAGTTGTGTTTACTACAGTATGCATAACCTGTGTTTTACTAAATGAATACTTTTTAAAATTTATTAAAAACAAAATATGCCTTGCTGATTGAGAAAGTGAAAATGAGCAGCTTCCTTCAAAGAAAGCCTATCACACTATGACACACTTTCAAGTCATCAGTTACACTATAACAATTTTCAATTGAAGGTACATAACCTGTAGTTTACTGATTAAATGAATTTCAGAAATAACTGAAAATGAAATAAAATATGCCTTACTGATTGAGAAAGTGAAAATGAGCAGCTTCCTACAAAGAAAGCCTATCACACTATGACACACTTTCAAGTCATCAGTTACACTATAACAATTTTCAATTGAAGGTAACTCATATACAAATTGAACTGAGGGCTAACGGCAACTATGTTAAATGTTAGAACTGAATTCTTACCGGGGTCATTTTTATTGTCTATGCATCGCCATTATAAATAATTGAAAAGTAAGATGATTCCATGAAATTTGCCCCCCGTAACAAGATAGCTTCTGCATATCGATAGGATGTACGATCGAATAGGTGAACCAGTTCATTAAATATTTTGAAACATCGGTAAACTGATCAACACTTCGCAGGTCTATTATATTTGAGTCCATAGGCGTGTGTTCTGTTTCTTGCGAAGGTGACTTTGTTTTGTATTTATTAAATATATTTTATTATGCACCAGTGCAATCGGTTGCATCGATGCTCGAGAGCCAGTGGCAACACCCAATAGGGATTGTAGGATTTTTCCTACAACTATTCAGTTTAGAATCATTTCATTTCGTTATTGATTTTTATTTTTGTATTATACATTCTTGTTGGGAAATTAACTTTTCATAACTCTATTATCGAGCAGTCGTACAAAATATCCATCTGCTTGGGTTT